GATCCACTCAAGGCACATGTTTTCCTTGTTTGACATCAGGGGCTAAAGATGGGGGCATTAATAGAGAGGGGGCTTATTTTAAATTTTGGCTTGGTAAGAGGACTTGATAGAGAGGGGGGCTTAATAGAAAGGAGGGCTTAAAGGAGAACTGACACGCAAAAATAACTTTGGCTTATTCGATGCAAAATTTGTCGCTGACTTCAAATCTGCAAAAATTTTTCTTCTAAGATTCGCCGTTTTTCTGATATTTGCACTTTTATCCGTCAATTACGTCACAGCCAGGACTCGGGAATTTCCCGAAGCGGAAACAAGATTATCGCCAGGAGTTGTTAAAATTCTCGGTTGACGTCACAAGTGACATGTTAACAATGCCGTTGTAAAGGATTTCACCGCAACGGTAGAAGTACAAATGAAGTTTCGTGTTTTATTGAAAATAGTCCGCGGTGAAAAGACAACAAATTGTCAGGCATTTCATTTATAAGTATAAAGAAGCTAGAAAATCCTAGCTACATATCTGATAAGACGCTAATATCCACATAAAATTTATTTTTATGCCATGATATCTTCGAAGCAGCATGCTCCGAAACATTCAAAGAACCTCAAAGCTTGTGAAAAAGGAGTCGACTTTGTTTGAAAACTGATACCGTTTCTTCAAAGTTTTTATTTTTACAATTACAAATAAAACCGCAATATGGGGGTGGGGGGGGGTTGAAGCAATAGACAAAAGACAAACGAAATCTAGTGGAGACAGCGGTAAAGCGATCCTGCAACCTGCTTTGGGTGCAGAAATATGAATTCAAGAAAAAACCTTGGTTGATGGGAGCTGCGAGTGTGACTGAAGAAAATTTCACTGAACTTGATTATTGTATTTTAACAGAGGTTGAGATACTAGGGAATAACCTAGTCTTGAAAAAGACCATCCCCCACTTAAGTCAAAATTGTTTGCAAAAGAAGATAATGCGCCAGTTGATATTCCTATGACAGCTAAACAGCATTTTCTTCGACTAAGAAATCAAGTTCTTTGACCAAGAAGTATAGGCCTATTTCGTAAATCCAGATTTTTCGACTGCCAGGTAACTTATCAGTTCCCGAAAAGCTTCACGCCCGGTGAAAATGGCATATAATCCGCACAAGTCGACTTTTAACCCGCTTCTACTATTTAATATCACTATACAGTTAACTCGTTTGAAACATTGAAAAACAATCATAGAATGCTACATTAATAATGAATAACTTGCAGTTCCGTTTAGGGCATCATAGGCATTTCAGCGAATTAGGCCATACAGACAAAGCAGTCTGGACAAACACGCCTCAATCTGAAATGAAATTCTAGTTTTACGATACCTGATCTCATTTAGATTATAGCAATAGCATTGTTTTTAATAGAAATTCTATATCAGTTTGTACTTCCAGTCTGTTCTTTGCTCATAACATCGTCACTGTTGAGCCATGGGACGACATGAGCCCAAGCGGCAGCGCTACCGCTGGCTGGTAGCAAAATCTCGGACGGCTGAAACTCTCCATTTGTCTCGAAATCAGTGTAATAAAACTCTGATTCAGAGTCCTAAACCATTGAAAAAATCAATTATGTGTCCAAATGCAAAATTAGCTCCTTTCACATGTACAAAATAAACATTTGTCCGCAGCATTTTCTTAAAGGTTTGTATAGAGAAACACAATACGTGCTGAGAACATGTCACAACTCGAGTCTCAAGTTGTCGGAACAATTGTTGTTTCTCAACTTAAAACGCCTGTATTTCAAAAACGGTAACTGTGATTTAAAAAATTTTTTTGATCCCGGAATTTGCTTGTCACAAACTACCGTTTTAGCCAAACTTATTTTTGCGTGTCAGTTCTCCTTTAAGAGCTCTGTTGTACAAAGTCTTTAACCTTAGAGTAATGTATCGCTTGATGATGACCAGGCCTCAGATCAATATTCAAAGAAGGGCATAACCAAACTATTTACAAGCAAGGTCCTGCAGTGTATCTTTTTTAGTTGTAAACTACTCTTTTGAGCTATTTCCTTTAAGTGTTTCTGCCAGTTCAATTGCTGGTCAAAATGCACCCCAAGTATTTGAAACTTTCCACTTCATCAATTTTGTTGGCACCCAAGTTAATGCTGATGTCTCCAAGTTCTTTTGTCATTCTTGCTTTTCCAAAAATCATCTACTTAGTCTTTATAGCGTTGAGTATGAGCTTGTTTTCCGTAAACCACCTATGTGCTTTTTCTAATTCAGTGTTTAGCTTTATCTCAATATTCTGTGCACACTTTTCAGCTACTAAAAGCACAGTGTCGTCTGCATAAAGGTGTGTTTTACAGTTTATAATTGATGTGACATCATTGATATGGATTAGAGACAGCAAAGGCCCAAGCACTGAGCCCTGTGTTACTCTGAAGGGCTTTTCTAGTATTTCTTCAGACATACATCTATTAATTAGTGTCACTTGTTTTCTATTTTCTAAGTAGGATGTGAACCATGAAATCTCCTTTTCTTTAATTCCATGTGCCTTAAGCTTACTAATTAGAATGGTATGATCTACAGAGTAAAATGCCTTAGTAAGGTCTAAAAAGATGGCACCGACATAATTCCCTTTACCGAGCTCATCTCCCTGCAACATCGATAATAGCTGTAGCTGTAGAGTAATTTCTCCCGAGGCCAGACTGGTGGGGGTCCAAGATGCCAGTTTATTTCAGGTATGCAGCTAGCTGTTCATATATTACTCGCGCAAGAATTTTTAGGGGAATTGGTTGAATTGATATTGGCCTGTAGTTATTGCACAGTAATTTGCTCTCTGATTTGTGAATTAGCGTTACCCTTTTTCTTTCTCATAAATCTGGTACTTTTCCTGATATGAGAGAGAAGTTCAGCAAATGAGCTAGGTGTGTAGAAATTGAGGATGCACTAGTCTTGAGTAGTTTGACATACCATCAAGACCAGTTGACTTTTCATTTTTCAGTTCTTTTGTTCTTTTCTGTATCTGTGCATCATTGCAAAAGTCAAACTTTAAAGTTGTATTTGCAAGAGTTTATTGGATAGCTTTCCTCACTCCAGTGAATTTTTATCAGCCACTTTACATGCTATATTTGCAAAGTACTCCTTAAATACGTGTGCAATTTTTCTGTTGCATGTCTTCTCTTTTCCATCAATATCAATTCTTTTTGACTGACAAAACTTTTTGTTTTACAAGGGAAAAATTCCTTTAATCTCTTTCACATTCCTCTGGGATTCTCCTTTCTATTCTCAACTGTTTCATTCAGATAGTTCCTCATTCAGATATTTCTCAATTGTTTATACTTATTCCATTCCTTTCCCCCTCAAGATCTGGATGCTTTTAATTTGGCTACATCCATTTCCGTAATTAATGCCAAAGCTCATCTGGAAAAACATTGCTTGTACTTCCCTTGACTTTTATTTCTATTCTCTTTGCTTGCTTGTCTGCTACTTTCAGAAAAGTATCAGTGAAACATTTAGCTGCAATGTCGACATCCCTTGTTTGGTAAAAGTCATTCCAGTCCTTTTGTGTCAGATCATGGCTTAAAAGATTCTCATCAAATTTTGTATATGACCTTGTATGAATTATCCTCGGGGGACTTCTAAAATTCTTTCTTTTTCTTATAGGATATGTCATGTAATGATCACTTATTGATGTTTTATAACCCCACTGTCCTTAATACTATTTTCTGCTGTATTAATAATCAGATCGATCAGTGTTGATGAGTGGGAAGTTTCTCTTGTGGAAGACTTTATAATCTTGGATGCCTCCAGTGTGCTACAAATATCATTTGTTAGGCAGGACTATGCTTTTTTCTTGTGCATATTACAGTTCACTCCCTCGAAGATATGGATTTCTTTTATTGGTCTAAATTCTTTCTGCAGTTCATCCAAATGTCTGAGGACAGTATCTCCTGCTTCAATGTCCATTCTATTTTTTGGTGGCCTATATATTCTCTTTACAATTATTGAACGGCTTCTTTTTAAGCAAATCTTACCCCATACTGCTTTGGCGGTGACCTTTGTCTTTCTTTCATTGTTGCCAAAGTCTCGCCATAGGACTCTTTTGATCGGGTCAAAAAAGCAATCCTTGACTCATCATCTACATCAAGTCGCTGGTTGAATTCTTCGTAACGAACTTGCCCCCTTTGTGGCGTGTTCGGGTTCCGAAGACTTAGGCCAAGAAATACCGCAAGTTTTCATGTAACTCAAATGTGTGTCAAGCTCAATTTCCAACTGAATACAATTTACATAAAAGTTGGATATCACATGTAATTCTGGTTTACATCAATCAACATAGCAAACACAAACTGTACAGACACAGCTAGACAATATAGTTACAGGACAGCAAATCAAAGTTATGAATTAACACATACTGACATGGCACCGAAACCCAGCTAGGGCCAACGTTACACCTTTCTTCTGCGGAAAAAAGGGAACTCGATGCTTCTTCTGATAACGGCCGGCCAGATGCCAGGTTGAAAAGCTTCTGTTGATCTATGTTTGCGTCGAAAGGATTGATGAAGTCCTCCTTCATAACCTGCATCAATTTGGTGACTCTCTCCTCTGATTTTCTTATTTCTCGCTCTCGCAAGCACTTTCGAGGATCGGATGAGAAATTATCCAGGTCAGCCAGAGACAGAAGAGACTCAACCATCTTTGCCTGAAATGGCCTATTGAGAACCCACTTTTCGTAAGTCTCTTTTCGATGCGTGAAGTCTTTGATTCCACCTACAACATAAATTAGCAATATAATTGTGTTCTTTTCATCACTATAGCAAACCAAGTTTTGGATGTTTGTGTAATAGTGGAAAGTTCTAAATTTAGAAACTTTTGGAGGTAATATTTTGTGTTTAGAAACATTGGGATTTCTTTTTGACTCTACATTTTTCGTTAATACCTTGTTAAATTTGCAATACTTGTAATACTTTTGAAGCTAAACCGTGTAACTTACCTGCCGTCTTAGAGCTTCTCATAAACGTCTGTTCACCTGCACCATCAATAGACTGGCCGATATTCATAGAATTTCTGCATACTGACAACCCTTTCTTCAACAATTCATCTTTTGCTCCGGGGTACTTGATTTCGATACTTTGCAATTGGCGGCAGTAGTATGTTCCATACCTCGCATAGTTTTGCTTGTTTGTCGAAAAGCATAGGGGCAGTGACTCTTTCCAGCATTTCAATCTGAGGTCAAAATCATTAGTGTTGATTGCTAACTGAAATAGATGCTGTCTCTCCACGAATTTCTGGTAAGTCATCCAGAATTGCGGTGTTTTTCCGAATTCCCCACGAAGACATCTTTGCTTTTGCGCATTGTAATGCTCGACGTAATCCTTGAATGGCGAAACTTGTTGGGGATACGAACGGCCAAAGTTTAAAATGTAAACGAGACTTTTGAAAAATGTATTGATGGAACATGCGCAGTAAGGTTCGGGAATGCCAGCGTTTTGGAGGGAAAGTTTGTGAAACTTCTATCTCAACGCAAAGTGAACCAAGGAGCGATTCTAAGCGAGTTAGGCATCAATATTCAACAGACGAGCAAGGGAAAAAGTTTCAATTGACCATACACTCTTAAAATTGTTCTCTATGCCAGGATGCTGTCAGTCTGCATTAGGCCTGTATCGCAGCTACGCGTAACAACCAGAATCGCAAATTACCACGAGGAAAAATCACTCCGTGGAAATCGGATGCACCTTTGGTTGAAAATCCCATTGTTTTGTTTTTGAAAGCCCCTGGAAATCCGTTTGTTTTTTTGGAAATCTCGCACTTCAAATTCTGATGATAATGCCCCTTCTCCTTTATCTATTTTTATTTGTTTGAAACAACTGCTTTGCTGCAAATTGCATAGGAGCAAGAATCTTTGTGAACACGGTATCCAAATTGAAATAACTTAAATTTTGTGCTTTGAAGGACCCTGAGTCCAACATACAGCTAATAACCTGATAAATTTTTTATACTGGGCAGGACTATTTGGAGTTGTTGCACAAAATTGTTGCTTATGTCTTTTTCTAAATAAACTCCTCATGTCAATAAGCAAAGGTCTTATGTCAGTTTTTACAATTTGTTTAAAGGAAACATCAATTTGGTTACTAGTTTTTTGCAAAGTATGTCCATTAGGTAGTCTAAAGGAACCCAATGTTTGTTATTTGTAATAAAAGGGAAACCCCAGTTGATTGCCAATTGCACCAAGTACAAAGTAGGTATTTGGCACAATTTCAGAAACATATTTTGCTGTATCAATGAAAAAAACAAATGAACTTAGAAAGTTACCATGAGGTGCATGTCCACAACTGTCAGGATATATAGATCAAAGTATTTATTATTAATTTGATTTCCAACAGCAGTGTATATTTTGATTTTTTTGATTCAATGCATTCTTTTCCGACCTATAAATTATTTGATAAAACATTGATCATTCATCACTGCATAACATCCTTTTATGACTACAGCATGGACTGCACCATAACTACAGTTTGTGCAAGTAGTGTATTTTCAATAATACTCTACTACATTTCCTTTAGAACTATTTGCTGAATGGGGAGTAACACTGCGGGCAGCACCCCTCCCCCTAATATAAATTTGTTCACCAACACTGTAACTCCAGTTCAAAGTATGAAAGACAGAAGGCTTCATTCTAATGCAGAAAGATAGAAGAGGAAGTCTGTCACTCTCTCTGTTATTTAGAAAGGCTGCATGCTTTAAGTAAGCAATTTTTATAAGTTCAGCAGTCAAAAGATAGTGCTTAAAATGCTATAGGTTACCTCATAAGAACCAATAAATTATGTTTCTATTACTTGAATTTTCCTTCACTTTCCCTAATAAATCAAGAACATATGGCATTCACTGAAGTTATCTGATTGACAATTTCTCATTTTTGCAGATGTATGTGCATGGTTTAAAGGTGATGTTTGCTTAGCTGTGAATACCTTAAAGTGCCTTCAAGTTTCCCATTTTGATAACTAAAGTTATCTTTCACTGTTCTGTTCAGTGACATGCAAGTTAAAGAAAAGTTTTTAATTCGTAATTCAGACATTTTTGAATAAAAAAAATAACATTTGGTTGATCCAGCCCCACCAAAAACTTTCTTATTCTAAGGGGTCATTATTTAAGACAGGCAAAGGGATTTCTTATGATGAACAAGACATAGTTTCAAAATTCTGGTAATCTCAATGTTACAGTACCACTTTCATTTTTGGAAGTGACAAATAACATCAAAAATATGACTCAAATTAGACCAGTCCATGATATGTTCAAATGAGTAAGGGTTTTTCAGTAAACAGCATCAGTTCTGCTCCTGCCTTTTTCCTTGCCAGTTGTTTTAAATTAGCATATTTCAAACAACCAAGAACACTATGCAAACTTGAAATTATTTCAGAGTTTAGATAATAAACTAAACTTGCTAATTTGTGCGTCAGCGACAGAAATAAGGGGGGGGGGGATAAATCTAGAAATGAAGAGTGTGAATACTTTGTCTTTCTTTACAATCAAAGACTTACGGGAGTGGGGGTAAATCTGGATAACTCTGCTGCAAGCAGGGGGTATTACAGGGCCTCTGACGAAGGGGGCCATGGGGGGGAGGGGGGTGCCATAACCCCACTAATTAGCGAGACAATAACATTTTTAAAAAATTTTGTTATGATTGTTAAAATCTCCCTTGCCCCCCCCCCCCGAACTTTCCAACCAGCGTCGGAGCCCATGCGTTATCTAGTTTCCTACGGATTTGTTGGTCGTAATTGAGCTTAGAGGCTTAGATAACCGACAATATTAATATTAAAGCTTTGGTTGACATTGAAGCTCTGCTCATTGATGCAATTTCATTTATGTTGTTAGGCCCAGACGAAAAATATTTTTCCGTTCAAGATTGTGTATAGCCAACATAGTTCCCAAATTTACAGTGATAATACCCGATGTCCTTTTTATTCGATTCACAGTCCTCACTATAACAAGACTTCTTGATAGATAAACATAACGGAACAATTCTGCAACCGGAACCCCGCCATGATAATTCCTTCGGTTCATAATAAATCCAGCTACAAACACAAGACTAATTTCCTGTGAGCTGTAGCCTAATTTTGCTTAGAGGGCCACTCCATCTAGGCCTCTACAAGAAAGGTACTTTATAAACAACAACAGAATGTAAATATCGTGCAACTCCAGTTTCATCCAAGCGAGTGAAGCTGCGAGAGCGAGATATGAAACCAGTATTTCGCGGCAAAATGGAAGCGACTGCGCATGCTCTATTAATACACTTTTCTTTGATTGGATTTAAACTTTGAGCGACAAACAAAAGGAAAGACAATAGCCGTTTTAGCTCGTATCCCCAACAAAAACCATCATTGACGATGGCTTCTACGTCGTTTTTCGACACTTCTCCTTTCACTTGAACTTCGACAGCGCTTGGTACATCATTGACAAATGATTCGCAAAAGAGTCGGTCTGTAGCTTCAGCAAAACTCTCATGAACCATCCAACATCTGTTGTAATGCTTTTCCGTTAAGATGCCTTTAATACTTCCTGATGTGCAAAGCCCTGCCTGATACACCGCATCTTCGAAGCCACTACCCGAGATAAATTTTCCGATTGTGCCAAAAAATTCCACGATTCCATGGAAATCTCTTAATGAATGACAACATTGTTAAACTCTTCAGGATTGTTCCATACAGCATGGTAAAACTTTTTGGCGGCTCCTGCATCAACGGTTATGTGGGCGTAAGTCATGTTGGAACATAAAGCTAATCTTTGTGACTGCTTGATGCACTCAATGATGGTGCTGTATCCGGTTATCAGATTTCTAATTGGTAGCAAGAAAGCCTTGTGCACTTTGAGTTTGGTGTGCCTAGTGCCTTTATCACCCAACCAACAAAACGAGACACTGCTTGTGTTGGCATACTTAAAACTTTCCTCGTCAATCTCCACAGCAAGAAGAGAGTATTTGCAAGAGACTGATCTGCATTTTGTTGCTCTTCGGAAATATCACCAAAGGGGACAGGGTTCTTGTGAGGCACGAATTTCCTCTGAGGCAAATTTATTGGTTGAAAGGAAACCGCACGTCTACTTGGCTTGGGAATAGCAGCTACGACTTCCAGCTCAATACTCACATTCGATTCTTCTTGGTATGCAATACCATGCGTGGTATGAAGACTGCCTTGGGAAATTTCTTTTTTGACATCGAAATTGTCCCACCAAAAGAATGTAAGAACGCTGTCGGTGCGAGTTCGGGGAAACAGTGGCAATGGATTTTGATTAGCTCTCAAGTGCTGTGCTACTTCTGCTTGCGCTGTCTCAATCAAACGAACTTGGTCATAGTTACATGAATGACCAAATCGCCCAAGAATTTCGATAGGTTTTTTCGATCCTGTCAAACTATGCAAACCAGTACCTAACAGTGCGTGCTTCTCCGTCAGAAAATTTCCTCGCGACACAGCATGGACAAGATCGTGAGCAAACGAGTCGACATAACTCTGAACATTTTCGCCGGGTGTATGATGGGTAGCATGAAGTACATTTGTCAAAAATTTCTTTACACTTTTAAGATGGCTGCCTTTCTTTCCAGGCAAGTGTTTTAGCCGTTGGAAGCCAAGGTAAGTCCGGAACTTGCTTTATCATATCGACAATGTCACTTCGCAAGAGCTGTGCGGCTGTCTTCGTAATGAATTCTTTCCTGTCCTTCATAAGGCTGGTAACTGTTGTATTTATAAGTGCTTCCCTATGGTTTAACGCACAAGATCTTAGCATCATCACTTTCGTCAAGAGACTCACTCCATGTGCTATGTTTTGTTTGTTTGACATCAAGGGCTAAAGCAGTGGGGGGTCTAATAGAGAGGGAGGACCTAATAGGGCTTTTACGGTAAATGAAAAAGATAAGTACAGAGCATTACCATTTTAAAAAGGTGCGATCTCTGCCAATCTCAAAGGAGTTGCCATAAAATTTTCCCGGAAGGCTCCAATCCCGGACCCCCCTTTTGCTCTTGTTACAATATTTTCTGGATCTGCATCTGGACCAAATATCTTTAAGTCTTTAAGTTAAATTCAAACTCAGGTCAGTCCTTTCCCAACACAAATCCATCAAAATTGTTTCTTGCTTGCCGATTTCCAAATGCTTGTTTATAAAAACTGTAGAAATGAATGAAAAGAAAATTTATTCTCAAAATATAATTTGCTGCCATTTTTGCTCAAAGTAATGCTGGAATGACACCTCAATTACTTTGTGGATGTTTTTTTTGATGTAGATTTTGGCTTGAAAATGATTTGTGTGTTTTTAGTAGTAAAGTTAGATGCAACACAGGTCAAAAATCTTACATTTTGGAGCCCAACTTTTGTTATTCACTAAATATTATGTTGCGGGTTTTCGTTGGGCCTAATGGCATCGGTAACCTACCGTCGGTACCAGTGCTCCTCCGTTTGTCTGCTTGTTATTCTGTTTACATTCATTTCGCGCAGTTAACAAGCACAGTGACTTATCATAGAAAAAATGAACGTCTAACGTGAGGAAAGTGAGAGAGATAGATTGATATAGCTAGTACACAAAGTCCTCTTTTTGGGTTATCTTCCTGTTCTTCTTGGCGTCTTGGCCTTCGCCTCTTTCCATTTCTTACGATCTTCAGCATCTTCTTTTTCGCAGCCTTTTCCACTCGATCTTAGATATGCATGCACCGCTAAAAATACGAAAAAATGCAGTGAGACATGTTCTCTCGCCCTGGATAACTCCCCGTATCAAAAATATGATACATGAGAGAGGCCGGACTATGAAACGAGCTGATAAAGATCGATCTCTATGGCTTCTGTACAAACTGTACAGGGTGACCAGTGAACTTCGAAGAACTGTCAACAGCTACTTCTGCAATTTGATTGATGAAAATTCAAATAGCCTTCAGAAGACATGTAAAACGATTAACAAAGTTTTAAAGAAAAGTCAGTGCTCCACGACTCCCAGATCCGTCATGTATGAGGGTCAACTATTTGGAAAGCAGAGGGGAACTCAGGCGCGTATCTAGCCAGAATTTTGACCGGTTTTGGTGTACTTTATCCCATTACAGCCCTGTGTGTTTTTGCCCACACTTTCATCTAAGATATCAGAATTTTACTCCATTCAGCATGGCTCTTGATCCTTTTCTTGCAACTTCGATTCTAATTTTCATGAATTTTTCCGAGAAAAAACGTCTAGTCCCCTTAATACAAAAACCCCAGATTCCTGTTTGCATCCGTATTCCATTTTGTATCATTTTGTTTTAAAGCGTCCATCTTTCGAGCTATGGATATCGATATCGAGTATGCTTTTTCGTCACCGGTTTTTTTCGCATAAGGGAAACATATGGGCACCGGTTTTCACAGGTTTTCAGAAAACAATAACCACCGGTTTCAATATTAGCGCATAGATAGCATACTCCAAGCTGTCGCATCGAATGGCTGCTGATTTCCTCGATTTTGAATTTCTTGGATACTTTGAGATAAAAGATGAAGTAGGAAGCTGGGAACTCTGTCAAAACTCTTGTGAAGGTTCAATTCAGTATATAAAGAGAAGAAATGTAGTCAGTCAGGGAAAATGCAGCAATTGTTGCAATTGAAATTTAGATCAAAAATTCAAGATTTACAGAGAAACATAGCTCTTAGAATTTGACCGGTTTTTAAACCTGTGCAACCGGCTTTTTAAACCTTTTTTAAACCAACCGGCCTAGATCCACGCCTACGCAACTGCGGAAGCATTTAATGACCATTTCACAACGATAGGCCATAAACTTGTGAAAAAAAATCAAAACTAAAGAATCGGATAACCCACGAAAATATTTTGCTGATGAAAATGCATCCATAGCCCCTCATTTTGAATTTTAACCAATTACTTCAGACCTTGAAGAAATTGAAATAAAAAAATTGAAATGCAATAAATCTGCCGGTCATGATAAGATTTCAGTACAGTTTTATGCAAGCCACTAGCTGCTATATTCAACTCGTCAGTCAAAATGGGTATTTTTCCAGATACATGGAAAAGAGCGAGAGTAACCTTTATTTTCAAGTCTGGCTCTAAAAGTGACATAGGCAATTATAGACCTATATCCGTGCTATCCGTTGTTGTTGTTGCGCCGATTGATGGCTGCATTTTATCAAGCTCTTACATTTCGTTGAAATTCTAACGTAAATAGCATACATTGGTTTGTTTTTGGCCCTCAAATGAATGAAGGACAATCTGGAGAAGTAAGTTCATCCCTGAATAAGAAAGAAAAGCACGATTAAAGTGGTACTCTTCACTGAAAAGCACCAGATGACAGTATGGCCTAGGCAAAGACCAAAGTCGCATGTTGGAAAAGGTCAAAGTCCAAAGTTGCCTAACAATGCCCTTAGCAAGTGACCTCTATGGGGAGAATTCGATATACGTCAGGGCAGCTAAGTGCATTAAACAATTCCAGAAGGCTAGCAGTAAGTTCAAAATGTTTCACTATTCTCAAAAGTCTTGGCATTTTCTTCATCCTTTAAATCCGGACGCAAGGACAAAAAGAGGCAAGAGGGGAGGCAAATGTCGACCTTCTACAACGGACTAATGGGGACAGACTTGCAACTGTCCCCATTAGGGCTTAAAGGTTTACAAAATGAAGTTAAAAATGACCTAGATAAGCTTGTGCTGTTGTATCGTGATACACTGTCAGCATTATTGGACAAGCCCGCACCCCTGAAAACCAGATCGTTAAATTTTAAATCTAAAAGGAACGAGTTTTTATATCAGCAAAATACAGCGAAGCAGAAATATTACTCTGATAAAATTGAGGAATCACAGGAAGCTCAGAGAAAACTTTTCAAATTAGTCAAATCAATTATGAAGCCAGAAGACAGAGTTAAGTATCCAACCTCAAGTTCCACGAAAAATTTGACCAATGAATTTAATGAATATTTTATTACAAAAATCGACCTCATTAGAGAAGAGCTCGATGAAATAGAGATGGACACAACCCCATCAGAGTATTTAATGGATTACAAGCAAGTCAAAGAGTTTTCTGCCTTTGAAAGCTTATCGGAAGACCGAGTAAAACAACTCATCATGAAATCACCAAATAAACAATGTTCTTCGGATCCTATCCCTACTTGGACCCTGAAAGAATGTCTCGATATCATACTGCCATTCGTTAGTCATATTATTAATTCATCATTACAGACTGATCACTTTGCGGAGGCTTGGAAAGAAGCACTTTTATCTCCATTATTAAAGAACTCTACTTTTGACATAATATTTCCAAATTTGCGACCAGTGAGTAATCTACCGTTTGTTTCGAAGTTGGTTGAGCGAAGCTCGTCTGAACAGGTCTTGTCACACATGAGCGAAAACAGGCCTATGCCATTTTCCAGTCGGCTTACACGAAGAACTGCAGTACAGAAACTGCATTGTTGAAAGTAACTTCGGATATTCTTTCTGATATGGATGACAACAAGGTTACCTTGTTAGTGATGCTCGATCTAAGTGCCGCCTTTGACACCATCGACCATAGCATATTATTAAAAACTCTGAAGAAAAGAGTGGGAATTTCAGGAAAGGCTCTTGACTGGTTTTTATCATATCTCAGTAACAGATTTCAGCGTGTACAGATCTCAAATATAGTATCAGATAGAGAAAAGCTCAAATATGGGGTGCCCCAAGGTTGCTGCTTGGGTCCCATCTTGTTTCTTATTTACGCCAGTACTTTATTTAATGTAATTGAGCAGCACCTTCCAAACGCTCACGGTTTATGCTGATGACCACCAGATATATTTGTCTTTCAAACCAGTCAATCAAACATCACAAGAAGAAGCACTGCA